GAGCCATCCCGTGCCCGCAGCCCAGCTGCTTTGTGACCACGTTAAATGAGATTGGAATAGTCTTGCCACTTCTTTGAGTTTGGCTTCCCCTTGGAAAGGAATGGAAAATGATCTCCGAATAAGCGCAAAGAAAGGAGGGTGATAAAGGCATGAGGCATCTTATGAGTTTCACCATACGCTCGTCTGGCTGCGTGGAGCAATGGAAGTTGCTTGTACGGGTACGGGGTACGCTGCATGCCGATGGAGCTGGATTTCATCTGCAGCTGGACTTTATCTCCTCCCCGTGTCCCCACTGGTTCTGCAGCCCTGTTTGGTGACAGCCCAGCTCCGGTGGTGGGGACACCAGCCGGGTGCTTTAGAAATACGAAAACCGGCCCAAACTTTCTTCCAAGCGTCAGGAGCTGAAAGGAGAGGCTGCTGAGCGCCGTGCGGGCTGGCGGCGGAGCAGAGCTGGGCTGCGAGCACCAAGAGTCAGATCTTGCAAAGGGGTCTGCGGGAATTGTAACGGGGAAGAGAAGCTGGGCTGCTCCGAGCTCCTTTAAACCTTGAAAACTGAGGACTAAAAATCGTTCCTATGGGATCCCCGCAAGGGCGGACTCCTCGTGGGGAGGGTGCAACTGCAGAGTGAGAACTTGTCCAGCCAACTCTCGCCTGCCAGGAGAAGCCTGGAGCTCAGTGTTTTTCTGGCTCGAGAGCCCTCGGAGCCTCGCAGGAGGGAGCTACAACCCCCTCGGAGCGGTGGAGGGACTGGGACAAGTCCTGGTGGACCAGGTCCAACACCTGCTTGGATGAGATTGGCAGCGGGGGCACCGTGAGAGCGTGGGAAAGGTGGATGGCCCCAGAGAGAACCTGGGGTCTCATGGGGTCTCTGTGCTGGAGAGCAGCGTGTCAAAGGCCCACGAGCTGGGGAAGCCGTGAATGTTCACCATGTGTCGGGGTCATTTCCCTCCTTTTGTGGAGCAGGGTTCCTTCATTTTCTGACCTGGCCTTGGACGGCTCCTTCACCCTTCGGAGCAGAAGGACCCAAGATGTGAGCTGGAGCGAGCTCACGTCCACGTCCCCTCCTTCCTTCCAAACACGGGGCTTATTCTGAAATAGGGGCACAAGGAGAAATTCAGTTGTAGTTATGCATTTAATACGAGTTGTGAGTAGTGCCTTGGTTTTAATTTGTGTTTTTTCTATGTTAAGATCACAAGTTTAGAGACAGAGTTACTCGAAGTGCAGAAGAGCAAAAGTGAGACGAGTGGGGATGAGCAGGCGTCGCCCGGAGCACAGGAGATGCAAGAGGTGAGAGGTTTTCCTTGGGAAGGAAATTGTTCTGTTTGGAAACATGTTAAATGAACATCTCCTGTGAATGCTCTTTGTGACCATTCTCTGAGTATTTGTAGCCCACCATGAGTGTTTGTAGCCCACCATGAGTGTTTGTAGCCCATCAGCTCATGTGAGACAGATGGATGTCTTTGGAGGAAAGCAGCCAACACGCCAATATTATCTCCCTGAGAACTCATCTCTCCTGTGAGGACCTTCCCAAGGTATCTTGGGTCAGGTGGAGGCTCCAGGCCATCAGAGATGTCCAGCCAGCCCTGGGTATAAGGTGCAGGAATCCTGCTGGCAACCGTTTTTCTGATCCTTGTTTTCTAGAAAACCCTTTTTCTGCAATTTGTTTCTCTTTTGCTAGAATAAATTATGCTGTAGAACTGACTCTTCATTTTCCTTATTCCAGATGCTGGAAAGTTGTCAGGAAACAATAGACAAGTTGGGAAATCAGCTGGGAGAGCGGAGAGAGCGGAGAAAGCAACTTGTGTCTGAGCTCGAACTGTTACGAGAAGATCTGAAGGCTGAGAAGAAGGGGCTGAGCAGCCAGGTACAGACAGCTCCTGCCGGGGGACTCGCTGTGGGAGGCAGGTGCCTTTGGATGGTTCCATAAAACATCCCCCGTTGCCCCTCAAGTGCGTTTCTTGGCTTCTCTTGCATTTCCCTAGTCCAGCCAGTTTCACAGCTTCTTTGGTAGATGGTTTTAAATCCATCTGCTTTAATGGAACCGTCCCTGACTCCATAATTTATTTTTCCTTTTGGTGAATCTAACAGTAAAACCATAATTTAGACTTTACAGCCAAAGCCTCCTTCTCTGGAGGGCAGTGGAAGTTTCCAGACTTGGGTATTTATTGCAGAGTTATTTGTGATCTTAAGGCTCATCATCATGAGCCTCCATCTCTCCATGTCACGACATGGCAGGGTGCGTGTCGATTTGAGCCAAGACCTCCCTGCAGAGCAGCGCCACGGTTCCCCATCAGCAGCGATGGCTTCTCTGAGGTCCATCAATTCTGAATCTGTTTAACGTGGGTCCCCTTCATGTTAATAGTGTCTTAACCACAACATGGCACGATAAGAAGTCAGAACATCCAAGAGAAGTTTACACGAACAGCTCGCTGGGATCCCAGCACTACTTTTTGTTCCATGCCCTGAGGACCTCAGTATGCTTTGCTCGAAGAGATTTAACTGCTCGATAGATGTCTGGTGGGTTTATCTCTGCTGGGAGAATCACAGAATGGTTTGAGTCAGAAGGGACCTTAAAGCCCATCCAGTGCCACCCCCTGCCGTGGGCAGGGACACCTCCCACCAGCCCAGGTTGCCCAAAGCCTCATCCAGCCTGGCCTTGAACCCCTCCAGGGATGGGGCATCCACAGCTGCTCTGGGCACCCTGGGCCACTGCCTCACCCCCCGCACAGGAAAACATTTCTTCCTCACATCTCATCTCCATCTCCCCTCTTGCAGCTTCAAACCGTTCCCCCTGGTCCTGTCCCTGCACCCCCTGATCCAGAGCCCCCCCAGCTCTCCTGCAGCCCCCTCTCAGCACTGGAAGGTGCTGGAAGGAGAGTTGCTGGTGCTCTCATCTTCCAGTCGGGCTGTAGAAGACAGAGCACGTGTGGTGCCAGCAAACCTGCACCAGGGCTGCTGCGGACACGGGCAGGACAGGGACTGAAAATGAGGCTAAAAATGGAGGAGAGCAGCAGATGTGTGGCCTGGCTCAGGCAGACGAGGGGGACCTGAGGGCCCATCTGCTACAAACCCATTTTTTTACACCTCTCGAGAGTCCTTAGACCAGCTGTGAGTCATATCTCTTCTTGTGAGTGCAAAACAATGGAAGTCCTGTTGGCCCAACTGCACACACATGAGTCTTGCTGGAGGAACAGTGGCATCTAGAGGACAGGACTGCTGTCGTGCTGTTGGGCAAGAAATTCACCTTGTAAAAGCTTGGGGTGCAGATCAAGCCTTGCTGAAGAGGAATTTAGGAAGGGGCTGGGTCAGGTTTAGGAAGGGGCTGGGGTCAGGTTTAGGAAGGGGCTGGGTCAGGTTTAGGAAGGGGGTAGGTCAGGTTTAGGAAGGGGCTGGGTCAGGTTTAGGAAGGGGCTGGGTCAGGTTTAGGAAGGGGGTAGGTCAGGTTTAGGAAGGGGCTGGGGTCAGGTTTAGGAAGGGGCTGGGTCAGTCTATGAATCCGCACATGCAAAGGAATTGTCTGATTTGGGGGATGATGGGGAAAACACCAAGAGTCACTCTAACTTTTGCATCCCAACAGTTCAACCAGCTCATGGTCCAGGGATTTTTGAATTAAAATCATCCATCCCTGTAAATCTGTCTGTAATCCAGCCACCAGTTGCCTGGTGGTTTTGCCGAAGGAGAGGATGGTTTTTTCATCAAAGGGATCATGAGACAAAGTCCATTGGCCTGTGTTAGACTGTGACGGTCTTTGAAACAGAGGATTTTGCGTGTGTTTGTTGGGATTCCAGACTTCACAAACACGTTCATTCCTTTTTTGGGTCAAATCATTGATCAACTGGAGGTTAGCTTGGCATGAAACCACCGGGTCCTTGTGGGTGATACGCACCTGGAGGTGAGGATCTGAGGTTGTTCAACGTTGTGTTGGTCAGGATGTCCAACACGCAGAATGGGCGAGTACATGGGACAGCATTTTTGTTCTTGTAAATTTTAATGATGCACTATGAACTGATGTTATGCAGAGAGCTGTTGGCATTTGTTTGGAATTTTTTTCTTGTTTTTAAGAGGTTTTTGGACGTTTGAGAGGAGAAAGCTTCTTCTGAGCTTGTAGTTAGGGACGTATTACATCCGCTAACTCCTGTTGTTTCCTTACCGGGGGTTGCTTGACTCCAAATCAGAGTTTACAAGCCATTGTAATAACTCCCCGAGTCTCCAGAGAACATCAGCAAGCAGGGATCTCATTAATGTATCCCATGAGAAGCTATGAAAAGATAATGCTTTGTTAGATACAGAGGTGAGAAATGTAAAGAAATCGCTGTTGTTCTGGTGCCTGATGCAGACAGAAGTTGCTCGTGCATCTTGCCCAAATAGAAATAAATTCATCTTGGTGTAGATAAGACCTGGAATTGAAATATTAGTAGTAGCAAACACTAGGAAGAGCTATTGATTAAAAAGCTTTAGGAGTCAAAGCCACTGATAGTGTTTAGGGGGATTAATAGCGTTTTTCTTTGAAGGATTTGGGTTCTCTGCTGCTTAGCAGGGGATACCAGATGAGGCGGATTCTGGTTCCGGTCCAGTCTGGCAGTTCCTGTGTCCTTATCACTCCTCGTGCCTGCCTTTCTTGCCCCTTTTGTTTTCTTGGCGTCTTCTCTCCAGGTCTCAGGTTTTGGCTCTGCCGTTGGCAGGTGTTAAGGCAGTAGGTGATGTTGGAAGTGGAGAGCAGCCACCCGCAGATGGTGCTTTGGGGTTGACTTGGATGGAGGATGCTCTGGACACATCCCTTGGACTCTGCCCATTTTTCCAAGAATTCCCAGTTTTGTAAGGAAATATGGGACAGGATATAAAGCCCCGAGACCTACAGATGGGCACCAGAAGGATGAAATCAAGTAAAGAAATGGGATTTTATGGTAGTTTACACGCAGCTACTTCCCACGCAGAAAGAAGGACTTGCAAGGGTATCTTCAAGGGTGAAGAACTGCAAAAATTTAGCTCCAGAACCACAAGCCGTGTCCTGATGGAGTTCCCAGGTTGCCTAACACTGCTCAAAAGGTTTCCGTGAGACCCAAGAAAATCCAAGTCATGGTGTTTTCTGACCTTACAGGTCTCTGAACTGCTCCAAGAAAGAGAACAGATGAACAAACTCGAGCAGAAACACGACGATCCGTGTGCGGATGTAGAGACGTACGCAGAGCAGATGGCTGACGTGGTATTTTTGGAAGAACAGATCAAAAGCTTGAGAGATGAACAAGAACTCCTCTGGTAAACCCTAACAAGGCCCGTGGTATCTTCTGCTCCTTACCTTTGCTGCCTCATTTTTTTAGTCTTTAAACATCTCTGTAGCGCTCCTTGGGACAAAAACGGGCGCAGAGCTTTGTGTCTTCTTGGGTCATCAGCTCTCCGTAGAGATGTTGGTGAACAAGTATTTCCCTTAGTGACATGGGGATCAGTCAGGAATAAACCCTTTTTTCCCTCCAGCTATTCCAGATTCTGAACGGTGTAAACGAGAGCTGTCCTTAGGGAGGAGGCTTTGCAGTGAGGTTGTGTTTGGTCCCACCATGGGCTGGGGCTCCCTGGGGCAACTGCTGGGGACTTTGGTTGTCCCTGGAGGGCGAGTGTCAGCAGGTGGTGGGGTTGTGAAGCTCCAACAGGTCCCCAACTCCCCTTTTTTCAGTAAAACAATACATATTTGGAGTTGGAACATCCCTGCTCAGGCTCGTGTTAGGAAGAAAAAGCTTGGGTTACAGCCAGCAAAAAAACCTGGAGAACCAGGTACTGAGATGGAGTAAAACCAGACCAAGATGGGTAGCTTATCAGGACATAGAGTTAGGACTGAGATAAGTGAGACAGCTGATGGGAGACCCGAGCCCACGCTCCCGTTCCACGGGGCGCCGTGCGGATGTGTCCGTGCTGCTCATGATGGCCCCGCGCGAGGGTTCCCTAGGCCAGCCATTGACCCGCTCATGGGTGACCAAGAGCTCACCCTTTGGACACACATTTTTTTGTGGGTCAATGTCCAGAGGAGACTGAACTTTGCCCAGAACTGCTTAGACCCAGGATTAAATCCCCTTTGGAGCCCCTCAAGACACTCGAGCAGCTCACCGGACTCCTGTATCCCAAGTTTTTCCCCTTCCGAGGGTGGTTTCCCTTGGACGTGTACGGTTACCTCTTTCCTTTCCTATTTCTCCTTCAAGTTTGGAATTACTGGAAAGCAACAAGAAGAGGGAGGAGCTGGAAAAGCAACTAAAAGAGAGCCATGAAGAAAGACAGTCGTTACTGGAAGAGATCGCCCAGCTAAAAGAAGCAATCCGCAGTGCCCGGGAGCGGGGCGGCAGCGCGCTCGAAGAGACGTTGGGGATGAACCAAGGCACGGCGCGTAGAGCGGAGAGGGCTCTCGTGTCGCAGAGCTCTGCGGGCAGCTTAGATGGGAGCGTTGAACAGGTATGGGCAGCTTTGCCATCTGCACCGTACTTTTTTTTCCATTAATTTAGCGGCAAAACCTAATTAAAGTGGACTGGAAGCCAGTCCTGTGCGGGGAGAAGAGGCTGAGTGATTTCGTTGGGGAAAATATTTGGGAAGTACGAATGGCATCACATCCTTCTGTTGGGCTTTTGGACTTGGTGGGAACTTGGATAAACTGAGCAGCCCCCTTAGTGCACACGAAAGAAATAAGTTCTGCAGCCCTTCTGTGATGATTTCAACCTCTTTGGAGCTCGTTCTCAACTCTTTTTTTGGAGCGTCGGCAGCAGAGCTGCCTTGCTGTTCCCGCAGCGGTCCTGCCCTTGCTGTGGGCTGAAGCTGTTCCATTTCCCTGCTTCTCCTCGTGATTTTCTGCTCTGACACTCCAGCGCTTGAGCTCATCCCACCGCTACTGCCCCGTGGTGGCAGCTGGGTTTTGCTGCAGCCCCGTGTCTCGGTTGCTGCTCTGCCCGGCAAGACCTGTGTTTATCGCCCCGTTTTGCTGGTTTTTAAATGCAAGTTGTTCACCTTTAGAGAATCCCAGGATGGTCTGGGTTGGAAGGAACCTTAAAGCCCACCCAGTGCCACCCCCTGCCATGGGCAGGGACACCTCCCACTAGCCCAGGTTGCCCAAAGCCTCATCCAGCCTGGCCTTGAACCCCTCCAGGGATGGGGCATCCACAGCTGCTCTGGGCACCCTGGGCCACTGCCTCACCCCCCGCACAGGAAAACATTTCTTCCTCACATCTCATCTCCATCTTCCCTCTTTCAGCTTCAAACCGTTCCCCCTCGTCCTGTCCCTGCACCCCCTGACAGAGTCCCTCCCCATCCTACGTGGGATCTCAGAAAGAAAGGGAGAGCAGCTCGTCCCGGCCAGGAGAGGAGGAAATGATGAAGGTTCCCAGGATGGAGAGGCTGAGGAGGAGGAAGGATTATGTGCAAGAGTTTGGGAGAGCAGAGAGGCCAGGGTGGTCTGCGGGGACGAGTGGGAGTGGGAAGCAGAGGGTCAGAGTCGTGCTGATACCAAGAAGCAGCAAATCCGTACGGGTGGAGCAGACCAAAGCGAGATCCAAGCTGTAGAGGGGATGCTGAAAAGGATCCCGATAGAAGCAGGTGGGGAAGAAAAACCCACAAAAACGAACTGATCTTGAGGACATTGCTGCATCCCACAGTGCTGGGTGGAAACTTCCCAGCCTGGGAATTGATCTGGGGATTTATTCGAGAAGAGCAGCTTGGTCTGCGGTGGATTTCGTCTGGTCCCAGGAACGGAGGGTGGAGACGCAAACTGGGAACGCAGATCAACAGCCAGCTGAAACCGATGCTGGAAGAAGGGTTTTCACACCCCAAACACGGGAAGCTCCCCATCGGTAGCTTCGAGCTGCAGAGATTTTTGAGGCTCCATCTCCAGCTGCATGGAGAATCCATACGCCTGTGTGCGGGGAAAAAGCATCTGCCGTGAGCAGAGGGTCCGAAATCTCTGTGAAACTCAATCCAATGGATGGATCAAGATCAGATGGAGCTCAGTGATCTTCTGAAAGCCATCCCAGACCGTCAGTGACCCCCTCACGGTGTCACATCGTGCCAGTGGGTCTGTTCCCGCGCTGCTGCCGGGACGTGCTTTGCTCCCGCTGCCTCCGGGCACCACGGGGGACGCGCTGCTCCGGATTAGTTTGTCCTCATGAGGGTCCAGCACAAGAGTTCAGAGCAGCACGGGTGGTTTTGCTTTTGCTTGAAAGGTTGGTTTTAAAAGGGATTTTCCCTCATCCAGGTTATTGCATCTTCTTCCTCAGCCTCGGGAGTTGTGTCGGCTTCTCCGAGGGGATGGACGGGGCAGAGACGTAACGTGGGGGCAGGAGAAACGCTGCCCTGGATTTACCCATCTTCCTACTTAAACACCCTTACATCCTCCTGGCACACCTCCACCTTTCATAATTACCCATCTTTATCCTTCTTTGAGGTTAATTTCCGTGTAACTGTTCCTGCAGAGTCCGCCCGACGAGCGGTTCCAGCAGCAGGAGGAGAAGATGCAGCAGCTGCGGCAGGACCTGCGCCGCGTCCAGAACCTGTGCAGCTCGGCCGAGAGGGAGCTGAGATACGAGAGGGAGAAAAACGTCGACTTACAAAAGCAAAATCTCTTGCTCCAGCAAGAATGCACCAAGGTAGGAAGAGAGCAGGGAGAATGCTCGGAGAGCATCACGGCATTTGATAAGTGGGTCTGAGGTTCTGATTTCGACAGGCTGGACCTCGTTTCCACTTGCCTGTGCAGAACCCGGGGCCCTCAAGCTCTGTCTCGGCTCTGTGGAAATTGCACCACCTCCAAATAAAACCTGCTCCCTGTATTTCCCTTTTATTGTTCTTCCCAGTCCAGTAATCCCATTGCCCCTTTCCTGATCAAGGCATTTCAGATGATAGATATTGAACTGCAAACTTGAATTTTTTTTTTTAATTTTTCTTCTTTTGCAACTCAGGTCAAAGCTGAGCTGAAGCAAGCCCGGGCAAAACTCTCGGACACAACGGAAACGTGCTCGTCTCTCTCAGCACAGTGGGAAAAGAGCCAGCAGAAGGTCAAGGAACTGGAACAAGAGCTCCTGAAGTGCTCCCAGGCTGATAAACTGCAGAGCGGGCTGCAGGAGAAACTGGCACAGGAGAAATCCAAAGTGTGCGAAGCACAAAAAAAGGTAAATCATCAGAGTGAGCCAACTGTAGTTCAGAAAAAGCAGCACTGGCAGCTCATGGATGATTTCCCCAAAGCCCATTTTGCTGGTCCCCTTTGAGATCCCTTGGGTAAATATTTTAGGAAAAATGTGTGTTGCTAGTAGGAGGAAAATCAAGACAATAGAAGCCAACTCTGCTGGCTCAACTCCTGTCTCTAAAGCTCAATATCTCTGAAAATACCGGCAGCAGGGCTGGCAGGCGCAGGGAGCCCAGCTCACGTCCTTGCCGAGGAGATCTGCGGCTGTTTGCTCTCAGCAAAAGCTGGTTTCGTGTTTTCCGTGGCATCGACTCTGCCGTGGTCCTGCACTCATCGTCGGGTTGGGTTGGGAAGTGTGCGGGATCAAATTCAGTACAAAAAGGATTGTTGCTAATTCATGACATAGCGTCTGATCCCAAGTCTGGCAGCTGTTGGAAAGGTTTTGATTTTAACGGACTTGGGCACAAAGAGGTGCAGAAGTGCTTTGGAGTAGAAGCAAGCAAAGGTTTCCTTCCCATGGTACCGAGGGATCGAAGGGATCCGAATCCCTTGGATCTGAATCCATACTGACCCATAAATTCAGAAAGTTTAACACGTGTCCAATTTTAATCCAAGATTTCAAAACTCCAGCAAAAGCTGAAGGATTCCCAGCACCAGCTGCTGCTGGCAGAGGCCCGTGTTTCCGACAAGAAGCTCCTGGAGGAGGAACTGAAGGAGGCCCGAGAAAATGAAGCTCGCGTGCAGCAAGAACTTCACGGGGAGCAGCTGAAAAGGTACTGAGAGCGGGGTGAGGCTGTGCCGTGTGCGGGGGCTCGTGTGTGCCAGTGCGTGCTGCTGGGCCAGCCTGTGCCCCCCGGCAGCTTGTGGCTGGTCCTGGGTGAGATCAGGGGGTGGCTGCACCACTGGATTTATCACAGAGTCCCAGGATGGTTTGGGTTGGAAGG